TCTCTCTCTCTCTCTCTCTCTCTCTCTCTCTCTCTGTATCTTCTAGGAGGCCAAGTTTAGCAACTAGTAAATATTTGTAGGTTTGATTTGCTGCAGGCAAATTAACACTTGCATTAGCCAAGCTTCCAACAAGTTAGGGCAGCAGGAGAGGAGTACTTTTTCCAACAAATATGATAAGTGGAATTCTGGAAAACAGATTGGAATGCATGTCTTGAAGTTCCAAGAGAGACAGAATATAAATTAAACATGTGGAGATAAGGAAGGCTTGATATTGGTTAAATTGCTTGCAGTTTTGTAATGATTTATAGTTTTAAAATGCTTTATAGATCTTGGATAATTAAATTACCATAACCACCTGGTGATATATGCAGGATGGGTATTATTATCCCTTTTTAACTGTTAAGGAGATGAAATGCTAAAAGAAGCAAAGTGATGTGCCTGAACGCACATGGATGGAAACAATGAAGCCGTCTTAAGACCTGGTGCAGATTGTTATTGAGAAAACAGGGGCCAGAAGTGTGTCATTGACTTTATTTTTGAATTTGAACACCTTTAAAATACATACAGTTCTTATAGTCCCTGCAGTCTCACAACTCTATGTTACTTGCTTGGCTCTTGATATATCTATGAATTTTCAGTTTTGCAGTCATAAAAGGGAATTTAGGGCAGAAAGGACTCTCTCGCCAGCTGCCATTGCTGGCTGAAGAAATTAACTGAGGGAGAGCGTTGTGTGGTTTCCATGACTCCTGCTACTGTGGGCCTGTGCTGAGGATGGGCAACCAGGGAGCATTATGGGTAATGTTATCCTATGAAATACAGGCTGAAGACTACTTCCATCCTTTGTGGACATTCTGCCTTTTTGTATGGATTGCACAGGCTGGAGGACCTCCCCCGCCCTGCCACTTTTAACTACCCAGCCTCTCCCAGCCTTGAAAGACAAAATGTCCACTTCTCTCAACAAGCAAATAGATGTATTCTATTTAAATATTTAAACAACTTTGCCTAGACTTAGAAAACCATTAACCCAGGTTTGGAGCTTGTCAGCCCTTCAAGGGCAGAGCCAAGGTTTTATTTAGTTTGGATGCCTAGCACCTAAGCACATAATGGCACATCATAAAGATATATTGAATAACACCTGCGTGGATGTCAGTTCCGCAGCTGATGCAAAAGCAGCCCAATGTTTTCTTTCCACTTAGCTAACCGGCTGCAGCAATCTTCCTTCCTCAGCTCTGAGTACTTCACCTTGGCATTGTTCTTTTTCTGATGGATGTGAGAAACACAAAGATCAGAGAAAGCAAAGACCTTCTGTTTCTATTTCAGCAGACCTGTATTAGAAAACTCAGAGAAGCCAGGCCCAGTGGGAAAGGATGACCTATCTCATCAGTGGAAAGTGGTATTTCTAAAACATTCCCAGAGGCAGCCAGTGGGTAGACAGGTATTAACTTGGTTAAGGAGGCATGTCAAAGAAGGAGGCACCAGACCTACCTGGCCCAGGGCCATCGATAGGATCAATATTTAACAGGCATGTCTCTGTATGTCCTTGGTGCCCCCTAGCATCTGCCTCCCATCTAGGAGTCTTCAGTTTATTCTGGAAAACAAATGAAGGATTTGTGTAGCCCAGAGGATATTCATTCAAGCTGGAAAGGAGAGAGATTGCTAGGATAGAGCAGCCCTGCTGATGGGCAGCCCTGGTCCTGGAGGAGGATATTGTCCTTCTGCTTATTGCCAGTGCCACTCAGAGGTGGAAGGGGCCAGATGCCAGCTCTGCTGTTCCTGAGGTCAGTGGTGTCAGGATCTTTGGAAAAATTAAACCAGAAAATGAGGAGGTTGAGGAGGAGTGAGAAATAATACTCCTGGGGCCAGGGAGATAGCTCAGTAGAATAAAGCGCTTGCCTGGAAAGTGCAAGGTCCTGAGTTCAATCCCTGGTACCGCCAAAAAAAAAAAAAAAAAAAAACCCCTCCCAATTAAAGGAAAAATAAAAACAAATTGATCACTTGAGGAATGTGTTCATATTGGATGGAGCTTTTTTACTCCAGCAGGACAAGATTTTACTTTTTATTTCTCTGACACTTGGATCCAAATTTGTACATTTTGGATCAGTTGCTACCATCAACACATGTGCACATAAGACATGGGGTAAAGTTATTAGGAATTAAGGTCCCCTGTTTCAAATCTTTTTCTTTTTAAACATCCTGAAGTATTTCTCAAAGGTCTCATAATTTTTCTTTTTTAATGTATTTAGTACAGGGTCTACAGGGTCTTGCTATGTAGATCAGACTAGTAGTGATTCTTGTTTTCAGCCTCCTAAGATCTGAGATTACAGTTGTGCGCCACTACGCCCAGTCTCAATTGCCAGCTCAGTGTGCCCTGGAGATGGGGCCGACATGGCACACTGGGGATCAAACCCCTGCCACTGCGCTCTGCCTAACTCAAGGTCTCATAATTTCAAAGGCCAGAGTATTTGTGCGACCCTGGGAAAGCATAGGTCTCACTATTATGGCAAGAACCATCTTTCAGAATCAGCCTTCCGCTCCTTTCACATATACTAAATGCCTGAACATACAAAGCCTCTAGTATGAAAGCCTAGCACTAGACATAGGTTACAAGGAGAAGTCTACACCCAATGAGCCAATACCTTGTGCTCAAAGTGGGATGACACCACCGGTGAACACTACGGGCTTGTCAGAAACCGAGTCTCGGGGGCCATGAATATGAATCTCAAGAAATTCAAACACACAGCAAAGTTTGGGAAGTACATCACCTCATCATCTTCTACATTAGAATCTTGTTGTAGTCAGGGTTTGCAAGGGAATAGGTTTAATACAGGACATAATTTATAGCATTATTTTATAATATTTACACAGAGTCAAATGCAGAGGAGTGCAAGTGACCTGTCCACGTATGAGAGACCCAGAGAATCCAGCAGAAGGCCTGGATCCCATGGCACTGTCTTATGTGAGTCCAGCTGGAGACCTAGAGCCCACAACAATGTCCCATGCAAATCTGTATCAAGGATTTGCACTGGGAAGGACCAAAAGTCAGCAGTGGAAGCTAGAAAGTCTGTGCCAGCAAGATGAAGGATCTGGGCCAGCACGCTGAGGGATCTGCACTGGAGCCAGGAAGCAGCATTCAATGTGAGGACCAGCGCTCCCATGAAAAGAACAGCAGGCAGCCTCAGTGACAGCCAGACCCGGACCCAAGCTCCTCCAACAATGAGAAAAACAGCTCACATCAGGAAAAACAGATCTTATCAGGAAACCCAAGCTTCTCTGGGAGAATCAACAGCATCTCTTCCCCTACAGTTCTGCTTTTATGTTATTGGTAACGATTCTCAGGTGGGCCTTCCATACCCAGAACCACCCTGAATCAGTTCAAATGGGTGTTACAAGTTGACCATTAGTTAGTCTACCATGAATCACCTAGAGGCTTCTGGGAAACAAGGTGATTTTGGCTTTTGGCTTTTGGCTTTTGGCTTGGGCCTCTAACATACACCAGTGAAAACAAAATCTCTGGACACTGGTTTTGTAAAAATCTGCACAGGTGGTGCTACTGACTTGCCAATGTTAAGGCCCATTATCTTATCTATTTATTTATTTTTTGCAGAACTGGGGATTGGGGGCCGGTGAGATGGCTCAGTGGAATAAGCGCTTCCCTGGCAAGGGCAAGGGCCTGAGTTCAATCCCTGGTTCTGCCAAAAAAACCCCAAGGAACAAAACCAGGGATTGAACTCAGGCCCTTGCGCTTGCCAGGCAAGTGCTTATTCTACTGAGCTATCTCCCCATGGCCCATTATTTTAGATCTAGTTTCTAGTACCATTTTTTCCCAATGATTTATACATCAGTTGACAGACAATTCTCCATAGATCTTTTACATTTCTGCATATCCAGGTTGTCTTTTCAAGGATGTTAGGACAATATACAGCCTTGGCAGACGCAGCTATTGCTTTCCTCTGGAATGAAGGGCAAATTTATTTACTGTCCAGGATAATGAAAATAATGCTTCCTTCTAAAGCAAAGGACAGTTCAGTTCACTGCCTTTTTAAGAAGCTCAGTGACTTCTGTTTCAGCTCTGACACGTAAAGAGCTTGGAAACCCTTGGAAATTTGTCACTCCCGCTTTTTCAACAAGCAAGAAGTTGAAACCGAAAATCAATGACTTTTCTTGGACCTACCAGAAAATTGATGTCACAGGGCAAACTAATGTTCTGAAATCTAGAGAGACAACAAATCCGGAGTCACAGTTGTGCTCTATTTACCTGGAGCAGGAGCTGCTGGAGCCATACTGATAGAAAGACTTACGTAGTAATTTTGCTGAAATTGGAGGCTGAATGTGCACTTGCGTGAGAGGGACTGAGGGACAGAGGCTGGGGGGGGGGTGCGGTTTGCAGGCTTAGCGCA